TGTCTCCCCCTCAGAGATTCTTCTCCTGAGCCCCCTGTGTAAAGTAGACTGCTCCCCACTTCCAACCAGCTCCACCAAGCTGGGGTCTTTCTCGCTCTCTTTCTCTTTCTCTCTGCTCTTTGTGTTTCCTTCATGGGCCTCAACATGACTTATTACTATCCTATGGTGCATGCGTTTGTATCACTTCTCTCCTTTCCACGGGTACTTTTATGTGTCAACTTGGCTAGGCTCTAGAGGCCAGTTCACCAATCACACAGTAATCTGTGGCTGTAAAGGTATTTTGTAGCTGTGACTGACATCTATTAACTTCAGTACGGGAGAGTATCCTGGAAAAAGGGGGTGGGCCTCAGTCAGTCAGTCGAAAGGTTTTAAGGGCAAAATGTTTCCTTGAGAAAGAACACATTCTGCCTGAGGACTGCGAGCTGAGAGGTTCTGGCCCTCCTTTCCTGATGGCCAGTCCTATGGATTCTGGACTTGTTTAGTCAGGCCCTCTTAACTCCCCGCCATGTGCATTTCCTACTGATTCTTACTCTCTAGTATAATCCTGAGAGATGCACAGCCCTCACCCCAGTCGATACGTGAGATTGGGGATCAAGTCTGCCTACCTGCTGGTGCCTGACACACGTATTTCAGCTGAATCACAGAGTAGCTACACGCTAGGGAAGCCAAAGATATGCTTTATGTCATCATGTCCAGACTCATGTCCAGCCAGTCTTCCACTGGCTGGAAGATAAGTGAGCAGTAATAGCTTGCCCACAGACCTTGGCCCTGGGTCCCCAAGGGGCCTGAGCCTGCCGGAAGGGAAGAGGAAGGCTCTCCCTGACGGCCTCTGTCTGTGGTCACCTGGGTTTGGCCTCAGGACTGCAAGGGGTATGATGGGTTGTGGAGGAAGTCCTCCCCCATGACTGTGGTTCTTTCTGCCCCTCTCGTGGGAAGGCCTTCGGGCCTCCATCTGTAGCTCCTCAGGAACCTCCATCTGACAGCTGCGGGCCTCTGCTCCACAGTCCACTTGGGGCAGGGGCCTGGGTGGGACTTGAGGCAAAGCCACTGTCAACGGCAGGAAGATGATAGACTCATGGAAGACCTCCAATGTCTTGCACCGGTTCTTCGAGGGGCCTCAGGGCTTCAGCCCAATGTGGGAGCCTGCTGGAGGGTGAAAGTCAAACCCCTAACCAGATGCACTGTATCACAGAGAATGAACCTCAGAGCCACAGAGAAGGCCAGGCTACAGGCCAGACAAGAGCCCTAAGAGCAAGGGCTAGCACATTTCTGCTGAAGGAGCAAGTCTGCTGAGGACTGCAAAGTGTCCACTGGCTGTGCAGACAGGAGGAAGTTGATATTTTGACCAGAGGACTTAAAAGCAAGGAACTGAGATGAAGCCAGATTGCTCTGGGTTGGAGGTGAGTGGGAGGGGGGAGGCAGGCACTGCCACTCCTTAGAGAGGGAAGCAGAGAGCTGGAGTTGTCACTGGACGGGTGGCCCTAGGAGGATCTCAGCAGAGAGAGACTGATAGTGCAGGTGAGAGGAGCACTGAGAATAGAGTATAGGGAGCTTGCGTCTCTGCGGAGTACATGGTAATACCAGCACCTTGAGGGCAGGAGCCACACTGCTGGGGTGCAGTGTGGCAGCTGGGGTCAGGGAGCTAGTCTATACTGTGTTCACTCTGGCTCAGCATTGGCCACCCATGTGGCTGGCTTGGGATGTTAGATCCTCTGGCCATGGAAGGCAGAACCAGCTCAGCGGGCCAAGCTCAGCTTTTATTTTGGGTTTCCAAGGGCAGGAAGAGAAGTGAGGACAGCTGTGACCTATAGAGGTTCTGGGTCTCTGAGGGCTGGGTAGGGGTTTTTTACAGGGCATGGGATTCAGCTCTTTGAGTAGAAGATTCTGAGCAACAGTCACTGGGCATGTGGCCCAAACACAGAGCTGGCAAAGGGTCAGTGTACCTCCTGGCATGCAACCTTGCTGCCCCTTGGCCCACTGAGAGAGAGGGAAAGGCCAGCTGGGCCCAGAACTCCAGGATGGCCTTGAGGGGAAGCTGGGGTCTGCTTGGACAGGGCACTTGAGGCAGAGAGACAATACTCACAGGGCGTGGTGACTGGCTGTAGGACACCTGTGGTACACACTACCTGGACCTAGGAGGAGAGCTTGGCAAGAAGCAGGAGGGGCCTTCAGGTACTAACGATTTCCTTGACCCTCCCTCTGGCCTACTGACTGGGGATGCTGCTTCTGCCCCTGGAATCTTTGCCCTTAGTCACAGCCACTGAGTGCTGGGTGTGTCCATCTTTCGAGAGCATTCTTAGGCTGTGCTGGACGTGACAGGACCACCCCAGAGCACATTCTGACTATATCTGATCCCAACTGTTGCTTCAGCTGTGTGTGTGTGTTCCAACCAGCTCCTTCCCCACCTTTGTGACTGCTAGGATTGGGCAGCAGGTCAAGATTTAAAGGGGCCAACCTAGGCCTCCAGGGGATAGGACTCCTTGGGAGGGGGTGGGCTCTCATAATGCCTCTCCCTTTCCACTGGAGTGGCCAGCCAACTTTGACCTTCCCCCTGCATCCCCCTGATGAGCTCTCCTGGCTCCTGAGAATAGGCAGGCTTGAGGGAAGCCCAGGCTTTGGGACAGAGGCAGGGGGAAGGGAGGCGAGGAGACTCTTCTTTCCACACACTGCTGGGGTGCTCAGCTGCCTGACTGCATTACTAGGTCTTGTGGCTATCTGTGAAGTGCGGGGGACATTTCTACATGCAGCCCACATGTCACTTGCCTCAAAGTGACCCTCCCTGCCCCGGCCAGCCACTCTGTGTGATTCCCCAAGAACTGGATCTCTAACTGTGTGTGCCACACTCTCAGTGGACTACTAGAGTCCCGAAGTTGAAGCTTTTGCTGTTCTTCTCTGGCTCATTTGTCTGCATCATCTCCCTTGATTTCTGGGGCCGTATCCAGATATCAAGTTGACAAGGTACCAAGCTCAATTCCATCTGGACTCACTCTCCATATTCCAGGGTTGCACGCATGGGCTTAGACATGGGCCAAGAGGATGGTGTGTGGAGAGTCCGGATTCCCAGAGCAGGTCTCCCTGCTCCTGCCCCCAGCACAGGATGGTTTTCCTGGCCACCTCTCCTGTATTTCAGCTTTTGTAAAATGGGTAGCAGCACGAATTACCCAACTTTGTCACCCCTCTGCTTTCATTGCAGCATCTGAGGGACCAAAGACACTGGCAGGCTTAGCTGACTTGGTACTGAATGCTCCCTGGAAAAATGAAAACATAGAGGCACTTTTCTCCTGGCTGTTTATTACAGAACAAAGGAAAAAAAGCCGCACTGGCTCGGAACAGATGCCAGATTTCAAATGTAGAAGCGAAATATGAGGTGGCAGTAAAATATGGTTACACAAAGTCTGGACAGTGAGAAAAGTTTATAGGACAGTGGGTGTGGGTGTTCTGTAACAGACACTTAAATATACATGACAATAATTGCAGATAGAAATCATCAAAGACAAACCCCAAATCAACTGTTAATGTTTACAGACATTTCCCCCAAACCACAGAGCCTCACATTGAAATGAATGCTGAAGAACTTGAAAGGAGACTTTAGGCCTTGCCACGTGCACTGAAGCTGCGACAAGCTGGGGCTTTCTCTCCATCTGAAGGACAAAGGGAGGGAGCTCTAGCTCTAGTTCCTCCAGGTGGACAGCACCTAAGACAGGGCTCAGAGTACAAGCCATCTGTGCCCCTTTCCCAAATCTGAAGGACACTCTCAGCCTCCCAGCAGTGTCTCTGAAGGGCGCTTCACAACGCAAAGGCTTCTGCCAGGGATGATCACCGGGAGGAGCCAGCGGACACCGAAAGCTTCGCAAAAGAGATTAAGAGTCACACCAGGTGCTATAACTTTTAGTGAAAATGGAAATTACTGACCAAGTGTTTTTCTATTTGGCATTTGTCAGTCTGCACAACACCCCTTGGTCACATCCACGTGGCTCATTACATCAAGACCATAGTGACTCATCCACCTGGCTTAACAAGGTATCACTGGGGCGAACAACACAGTCTGCGTATTATAACAATGCATAGTAAACACAAAACAGTGCGTAATAAACACAACTCTATTGAAACCAAAGCCGTCACTTTATTTACAAAGTCACAAAACCAAGTATAAATACTTCTGTCATTAATGTTTAGGAAAACCATTTACAAAATTTTCAAATATGTACAAGTAGCTTGAAAAATCGCCAGCTTTCCGTTGTGTCTCAGATAGAGAGGGGGATGGGCAGGGCCAATACTAACTCAAATTGTAATGAGGAGCCAAGGGTGGCTGTCTGGGGCCAGCTGTGAATTGCCATGGCTTCAGGCCACATCAACATGGGGGTTTCTATGGACATCCTGCTCTGATTTAAAACTCCCCAGAACCCTGGATAAGTTGACCAGTGTTCTGGGCTGCTCTAAAATGTCATCAATCAGCCTCAAGTTGCACACCCAGTCTTCATCTGGGCCCACACCGGGGTTTTTCAAGAGAACATGGATGAAATCCACCTCGCTGCAGTCAGGTGGTGAGATCAGACCACTTAGTGGGGGCCGAGCCTGGGGCAAGAAGTTATCAGGTGGCAGCTCAGGGGGCATATCCATTCTGCTGAATGGACCCGGGAACTGGCTGGCAGCCACGGCAGAGGCAGCAGTGGCTGCAGTGGCAATGGCCACATAGCTTGGCGGCTCAATGGCCTGAATGGGACTCATGGGAGAGAAGCTGGCCGTTCCCTGCTGGAGGGACTTGGTGGCGCTCAGCACAGGCACGGGGCCCCGCACCGGACTCTGCTGGAGGTTCTGATTGCCCATCAGGCTGAAGCTGAGGTTCGTCAGGGCAATACTCACTTTCTGGCCAGGACTGACTCCTGGGGCCACCTGGCTGGGGTGTACCCCTGCCTTCTGAGCTGGGAATGCGAGGGCTGCTGAGGGCACCCTCACGGGTGCCTCGGCAACGATGGGATTGCTACCAAAATGCTGCCAAATACTATCATTTGCTCGGCTGGAAACCGCTATGGTTGCCGCTGCTGCCGCCACCACCCAAGCAGCATTGTTGAACTCCATGGGCATCCTTGGCACACCGGGTAGTCTGAGCTGGTGGGGACTCAGGGGCTGGCTGCCCAGGGGGCTGGGCAGGGACACTCCTGGAAGGGTAACCTTGGGACTCTGTGGATGCTGGCAGGCAGAGGCAAGACTGTCCAGGGTGTTATGGCCGAAGCCACAGGCTATGGGAAACTGGGGGCCAGAGATGAGTGTTCCTTGCTGCTTCCTCAGAGTCGGGGAGGTCAGGTCCATGACCTCGTGGTTCTGGCGCCTGGTGGGTGGCATTATATACTCGCTGGATGGGGGGCTCACCTTGGTCTGGCTACACTTGGAGGTGACTTGTTCTTGGACGGCTACAGAAAGAGAGACATGGGGGTCAGTTTCAAAGATATCTTCAGCTTAGGCTTTGCCCATTGCATGAGAGTACAGGTCCAGGGTGTACCCCATCTCCTGCTCTGGGCTCCTTACCAAGCATCCTCTGCCCCCCTCCCCATTCTTCTGAACTGCCTTCATTTCTCTGCCCTTAGCCTGGAATGCAGGTCTTCTGGGAAGCCCTCCCAGACCTCTCAGGTCTGTGCTCACAGCACCCCTACCAAAAGTAGACCATGTTGGACTTGAAAAACGAGTGGATCTGTCCACCTTTTAAAGTAGATTGGAAGCTCCATGAGGCCAGAGGCTGTGTCTGCTTTTATCCTCAGGGGTCTGTATCCAGGCACTGTTCATGCCTTGACAGATGGTGCATATTTTGTAGGAGGAAAAAGAAAAGAAGGGAGAGAGGGAAGGAGGAAGGAAGGGCAGGGAGGGAGGAAGGGAGAAAAAGAAGGAAGGGAGGGAGGGAGAAAAGGAGGAAGGAAGGAAGGAAGGAAGGAGGGAAGGAGGGAAGGAAGGAAGGAAGGGAAGAGGGGAGAGAGGAAGGCTGGGGAAGATGGCTCAGCCTCTCACACTGCAGAGGGCATAGCTTGCCTCAGCTTCTCCACCAAAAAGTGGGGTGAGAAGTAGAGATAAGTCTTCTGGTCGCCTCTGTGCTCCCACAGCCTAGACAGCCTCTGAACCCAGATCTGAGACCCCCACATTTGTGGCTTTGGAGTGCAGTGGGTACCTTTGTAAAGGCTGGAATCTAAGAGTGAACATTCCTACCCCCCTGAACTCTGGAGTGACTGTGGTGGAGAGACAGGAGCAGAAGAAGGAAGGTGTCCTAGGAGCTTAAGGTTGGTGGGTTCGCTCATCCTCATGAAAGTCCACTGTGGCTGGTATCTACTGGTACTTTTGTGGAATGGAGCCTGAGGTATGTGGCAGTCATACAGTTTTCCCAGGGTCAAGTAGGAGCCAGGCAGGAGCTGCCAGCCCTGGTCTGTCTGACCCACCCCACGGTCTATACACACAGCTGCGAATGGAGTTTTTTTCTTGTAACTATGTGTAGGTTCTTTTGTGAGCAAGGTGCATTGATGGTTTGGGGCTAGGTTATAGCCAAACTTCCTAAGGCTAACCCTCTGAGGCCACTGGCCTTTCTGGAGCTTAAGTCTTGGGCAGGTAGGACACAGACATAGCAAGTATCAGGCCCAAACAGACAAGAGTTTTTGCATAGGAATGTATGAACAACGATGTGGACATGGCATTGGGCTCAAATGAAGATGCTGACCACCAGTCTGAAGGCTAGTGGACCAGTGCATCAGCTGGCTTGCTTCAATCTCACCCACTGTTCCAAGGACAGCTTAACGTGGGTTTCCCTGGTTAGTCTGTAAGCTCCATGAAGTAGGGGCCACGTCCAGTTTTTAAATTTGGTTTTTGTCATCCACATTCATAGTAGGATAGGAATCCCTGTTATCTGTGGAGGTGCTGGGAGCCCCCGATGTAGAGTCTCTGAGGTGGAGTGACCCAACCCCTTTTTCATTCCTCACACCTCCAGACAGCCCAGAACCCACTAGGAATGGAAGGTATCTCCAGCCTATATGAATGTGTGTTTGGGAGGAGGAAAGGCAGGATTAGAACTCTGGTGGTGTGGCAGTCCCCATGGGCCTGATCCCTCTCATTGAGAACAGTGGCTTTAAGGAGTCTGAGTTTAATCAATCTCTTGAATTAAAGTCATTTTGGAATCATTAAGACCAGACCTCCTGTCTGAGGGTACAGGAAGTGGGAGAGGGAAAGAAAATGTTAGAGAATGAAAAATATTGAAGCATCCCAATCATCTATGAGTGTAATATAACATAACACACTACAAGTTGTTTAATGGTGGGGGAGCAGGGTGACAGAGAAGAGTAAGTGATGGAGGGGTGGATCTGATTAAAGCATGATATATACATGTCTGAAGTGCCAAGGCAAAACCCCCTTGGACTAGCAATACACACTTTCAAAAAAATGAGGGACAGGAGGGTAAAACAGGTCTTTTCCAGGGGTGGTTACCACTGGGGGAGGGAGGGCATAAGGAAAGGGAGAATGAGGGTGAATATGGTTGATGGATTTTGTATTCATACATGAAAATACAATAATGAAACTTGTTGAAATTGTTCTAGGAAGGGGGAGGGGACAGAGGGAGAACTGTGGGAGGGCTGAATCTAAGATGTTGTAAGCACACATGGAAATATCACAATGCTAATAAAAAATAAATAATAAAAACAAAACAAAAAAGTAAAACAAAAGACCAGACTTTCAATTGGGATCTTACTCTTACAGGTGGGTTGAACTGCTACGTGAGAGCCCCAAACTGGGACCTGTGTAACCGACTTTCACACCTCCCCTCTCCCTCAGTGCTTTTGGACCACAGATAGTAAACTGTCTACTTGAAAATTAATTCTCCCCTCGCTGGCCGCTTTGAGAATATTGATCTTAACTGCTTACCTTGAAATTGACTCATCTGCTGGGCGATATGCACACTCTGCTGTTTAGGGGTCATTGCCATAAGACCTGATCTCTGCTTCTCTTGCTAAATAGAAGATGGAAAAGACATGTTAGATTACAGCTACCAAGAATTATTAGCCTCGGATTGCTGTGTGGGTACCTAGGGCTTGGCTTTGGTGCAGCAAAAGCATGAGTGAACACACCAACACACACTCGCATGCATGCCCCACCCTCCTGAGCAAGAATTCCACAGATATAAATAAAAGTAGGCTTTACACCTGGGTTAAGAAAACCAACTGCAACAGCATAGGATGGGCAGGAGAGACAGCTTAATAACAAGAGCACATAGAAAGAGACGGAGGCATTTCAGGTATCTGTCTGCTCAGGATGGGTCAGCAAGTGAGATGCGGTCATCAAAAACCAAATGTAACATTAGGCTGCATTATTAGAAGCAGAGTACAGAGAAGGAGGGAGGTGACAGTCCTGTGCTACTCTGCCTTGGCTAGACCATGCCCCACAGTGCTAGTAGGTATCTGGGGCATGCCAGTCTCTGGAGACCTAGACAAACTAGCTGCGTTCAGAGGCTGGTAAGTAATGGAAGTAGGAACTGGACTTCAAGTTATCCAGACAAGGCAATACTGGGCAGGCCAGGGACGCTGGGGCTGGAGCAGAGCAAGTTCTGGGCTATTTGGTGGTGAGTGTCACGGGGAAATGATGGAAGCTTGCTCCAGGCGGTCCTGGCACTAACAGCTGGATGGTCATATGGTCAGACAGACACACTGCCAACTTCCCTTCCTTCTCCTGACTGGGTGCAGCCTGGACAATGGGAAGGAGCTTCCTGTCTCATCTCAGAGCTGGCAGGGTGGGTAGGGGGAGGAGCAACACTTCAGGGCCTCAGTCCCAGCACTCAATCTGGGATCAGCTCATGGGGCCAAGGGAAGAACACAGTCAGGTGAGAAGGCCCCAAGGCCAGAGAAGGCACACCTGTCTCTGAGGTCCTCAGCTGGTCAGGGTTAGGTCACTGCAGGTCTGACTCAGTCCGGTGTTCACCCTCTCTGTTGCCATGCCTGCAGGCCATGTTCTGGCCCATGCCCCCAGAGGCCAGTAGACTTGACCATACAAGAGGGGGCTGCCCGTGCAGTGCCTGCTTTTCCACTAGGGTTCTGGGCAGCCCTCCTCTGCCTCGGTGACTGGCAGGGGAGAGGGAGAGGGAGAGGGCGGGAGGAAGGCTAGTGCTTGGGAGTGTGCCGGGCCTGTGGGCCTGGCAGCAGCTCCTGGCCTTGGTTCCTGCCAAGGCAGAGAGGACAAACACATGGCCCTGGGAAGACTACACCAGAAGCCATTTCCCCAGACTGGGCTTGCTTTTCCATCCCGCCCTTAGGCTGCTTCCTGTCCTGGCTCTTCCTCCTCCTGCCCTGGGGCTGCTGGGTAGGGGTGGAGGGAGGGGCTGTTTCTCAGCTGACCTACACAGCTGCCCTCTTCCTGCTGAAGTGCTGGCGGGGTGGGCAGGGTATGCTTACGTCCTGAGGGCTCTCCAACCCTTATTTCCCCTCATCTGGCAATGGAGGCAAATAGGGTCAATTGACTACCCCAGGCCACACCATCTGATCTGCCCAAGATGCTGTGGGTGGGTGAGCATTTCAGAAGGCAGCCTCTAACTTCTGTCTCCCCTCTAACCCTTATACTAGCCTGAGGACATCAGGACAGACCTACAGTCTCCAGCTTACTGGTGTGATACCTGAGGCTCAGAAAAGTTACATGACTTGCCGAAAGCAACATGGCTACGAAGGGCAATGCCTCATAACTGTAGACCAGTGCTTTGGCCCCTCAGGCCTGACACCTCTGGAAACCAGTTCCTGTGTGACCATTTGGTCCACCCTTACCCTACCTCCATCCCCACTGGCTGCCCCATTAGGTTCAAGGATCACAGTTGTATGGGGGCCAGGGCCGGGGACAGGCTAGAGAGTATGATCAAAGAAAGAGCAGGGGATGGAAGAAAAGTGCAAAGGGAAGGATGTACAGAGAAAGTGCCTAGTGGCATGGGAAAAAGGGAAGGCTGGCCTAGGGCTGGATTCAGAGGATGGAGGCCCTGGGTACTGCTGGCCAGATGAAAGAAAACACTTCACACCCAGGCCAGGTTCATAGGGACAAATAGGAGGAGGAGTCTTTGTCCAGAGAGGCTCACACTGCACAGCATCCAGAGTCTGAGGGGTAATCTGGTCAGCACCCTTGCCTGGCCCGCAGTGCTGGTGGTCCTCTCTACAGGACCCCATGGGCTCTTTACTCCACTCGGGTGTCCAGGGGCATGGCCACTTCTCTGCTCCCACCCTGGTGGGTCCTGTTGTCCCTGGCAGAGGGAGCCAGGCATTCTCTCCAGGCCTCCCGAGGAGGCGGCTTCCTTTGTTTTGCAGACAGGCGCCCATCCTTTGTTCTAAATCAATGTGCTCTAAAGATAAGACCCAAGAAAACAGTTGTTGCCTTTTGACACTGACAATTAGAATCGTTGGAAAATGGAGAAAACAGGAAATGACAAATGGTTTCAGTGACTAGGAGAGGAAATGGTGGCTGAAAATGCTGCTTAGTGATGGTACACTCTCTTTCTGTCCTCGTGTGAAGGACATCTCAGGACGTGTGGCTCTTTATAAGCAAAGTTATGGAGAGGTCATCGAACGACTCAGTTTTCTAGGGTTATAATTGCCATGGCACTCAATCCTATTATGCCAGGGACACTGACAGGCAGGCCCTGTGTGAGTCCAAGTGTGTTTCTCTAGTCCAAGTGTTGGGGCCAGCAGGAAGTATCAGAGAACTGTGGCCCCCTGATCTTCCTCTCACACACCCTCTCCTAGCCCCACTTGAGCCACATTCACAGACAGGTCCTGGGCTGCCTTTCTGGAAGCTTCCTGCTGATGCCCAGGAGTTCTAACCCCTCCTGACACCCCACCTGTCTCTGGTGGCCCACAGAAAGGTTAATGCCTCAACTTGTGTGCCAAGAGGAGAGAGAAGGCAAAAGGCCTGAGACCCACTTGAATCCAGCTACTGCCTACTGGTACCATGGAGCCAGCACAGGGCTTGCCAATGGACTAGGCCAACCACTGCATTGGCTTCACCTAGCAGCTACCATGTGCTAATGCCTGCCCCCTCCTGAGCAATCATGTGGATACTTCCAGCTCACCCCTGTAGAAGTCATTACCAATTCAACACTTAATCGGAGTTGGGGACTCTCCAACTCTCAAATGTGGGGCGGGGGGGTGGTGGTGGGGGCAGAAGGCTGGGGAGCAGCAGGAATTGGACAGGTGTCCCAAAAAAGTTCCTGGGTTTCAGCCTGATTCAGACAAAAGTCACTCATTACATGGTCCTCTAGAGGACGGTAACATGGCCTGTGATGGAGGAAGGGAGGGAGACAGAGGAGGTGGGAAGAGAGAGGAGAAAGAGAGGAAGAGAGGAAGGGGAGCACAGAAGAGAGAGAGGGGAAGGTTATTTTCCCGTAGAAGGCAACTCCGCCTCCTTGGGCAGCAGACACTGCCCTGTGAGTGCTCCCACAACAGAGCAAGGGTGCCATGGGGCAGAAGGCGCTCAGCTATCTGCCCAAAGGTTACCAAGCTCTAGCCTGGGTTTGTTTATTACTCCACAAGGAAAAGCACCTTTTTTGCAGATTTTGGAAGCCAGAATTGGAAACAAGTGACTTACCCTTATGGCTCTGGGGCCCCTCAATCTACCTGCCTGATGGGAAGCTAGGACTTTCGGTAAAGCCCAGCCGGTCTCTATCAGTCAACAGACAAACCCTTATTGTTAGTCTATCATGGAGCTTACACTAGATGGGGACTGACAAAACACAAGTAAATCAGTCAAAGATCATGTGCAAGACAACATGGCAGGGTGAAGGGATGGTGAGTGGGCAGACCCTGGCAGAACCCTCGGGTCACGTCAGGATCCCGAGGGAAGTGGAAGCCGCTGTGCCATTCTCTACGTCAGGCAAACTGTGGGGCAGTGTTGGCCGGCTGAGATCTTTCCTTGCCTTTCTGCACAATGGTGCAGGAGCTGCTGAGCCTCAGTAATTGTGCTGCTCTTGGGTTCAAACTGATCAGAAGCTATCACTGAGAGCCTCACAAAATAAATGCCATCGAAAGCTAGCAGCAGAGCTCAGTGTGGGCCACCCTTTCTATCCTCCACTTGCTGTCTTTATCCAGGCCCATCACTGTGAGAAATATTCTGCCTCCTCAGTCATGGTGGTTTCAGGGCTGGCTGGTCCCATCTCGGCTTGGTTTAAAGGCCGGGAATGATTTTTGGCAGAGGAAATCAGTGTCTTTCTTCCCTCCCCACCCCCCATGGTGCCTGGATGCTCTGTGTCACTCTGACTCACAGGCTGCAGTGACAAGGTGCTAAGAGGACGCATTCAGGGAATGCCAGGCCTGCCTCTCAAAGCCCCCCCAGGTGGTAGGGAGCCTCGGCTCAGCCCTACCCTCAGCACTGGGGAAATGCACTGGCTGGACCAGAGAGATAATGAGGTAGGGAATGGGAGTTGTGCACCAGCTGGGATCCTCTCATTAGTGGGTTCTGAGGCCAGGGCAGGGCCCTGAGCGCACGTCTCCATCCGTTTTGCTAACTCTGTGTCCCTGGCAACTTTGGCCTGGTCATGATTCTTCTGGTTTCAGCTAAACAGGGAACAGCTGAGGAGTGGTGCGACTCCAGGGGAGAGAGAAATCAATAGCCCTTGAATGGAAAGCACTGCTTGTTCTTCCAGGCCAGGGCAGGCAGGAGAAAAGAGAACAAGGCTGTATGTACCAAAGCAGAATTTCCATTAAAGGCCCGAATTCCGGGAGGCCTTTCGGCTTGATGACCATCTTCTTCTGATCACTATCACTTAGCAAATGCTCATTTCTCCAGCTTGCTCTACAGAGAGAGCAGACATCCTGTGCACACTGATGCTTTGTGCACCAGAACAACAACTCTGCGACCCAAATGAAGCTCTCTGCCAAGGATGGGCTCCATCATCGTACTCTCTTGGCCGCTAACGTGACTGGGCCATACCATGCCATTCCTTCTAGACTCAAGAATCTAGAGACTGATCCAAACCACAGCCACCTCGGACAGGCTCAGCTCGGATGCCTTCTGCCTGCCCTCTCCGTCTGCCAGTCCTCCAGTGGGGCAATCCAGCTTCCCAACTCCAGGGTGCAGGGCTCAAAGAATACTGCGGGGCGCAGGACCCATGGCAGACTCCTGGTAGGGGAGGCAGTCCTGGGCACCCCCTAGGTATCAAACAGGCAGGCATCAGCTGGGGGATTGGTGGGTGCAGGCTCCCAGTGTGGCTGCAGGGACAGGCAGGTGAGTAGGGAAGTGGGGTGCCGGAAGGTGTGTGACGGGGGGGGGGGAGGAGCAACTACATCCTAGGCAATCTCCCCACTCATTTCCCGGGAGGCGAGGTCGAGGTGCCTGGAGACATTTGCTTGCTTGCTTGTTTGCTTGCCAAAAATGCTAAGAAGATAGAGCCTAGCCGGGCCAGAGAACACTAGGGACCACTTGCAGGTGTCCAGAGCCTTATGATGGCTTGCAAAAGGCCTGGCTTTGGAACTGTCACCTCCTGAGCTCCTCCCAACAACCCTGTGAGGCAGGCGGGCAGGCTGAGCAGGGGACTGCGCCCCGGTTGACAGATGAGGAAAGCGAGGCTCAGGGAGAAGTGACTTACCTGCAGCGGCGTCGCAGCTAGGCAGTAGAGGAGCAGGCACCTGCCTCCAGGCCTTCGGATCCCAGCCGCCCCAGGGCGCTGCCTCTGAGGTGCTGTACGAGGAGGTGACTCGGGCCAGCTCATGAGCAAAGGAGCTGCCGGGCAGGAAGGACTCACTCCCCAGGGCCTGGCGGGATGGGGGCTGTCGCCCGAGGCTGACCTGGGGGGGCCTGGCTTCCCCAAGCTTGCAGGCTTTGTCTACATGAGTCTACAACAACCGATTGAACAATCCATCAGCTGTGTGGCCATGAAATGGTTCTGACTGATTTTGTCACTGCCCTGACCACCTACTTGGGCCATCTGGGGGTTGTGGTTATATACACCAACTGGCTTGGGGAAGAAGAACCAAATAGCTTTTTTGGCTTGTCTTGGGTCACAGACTCCTTTGAGAAGCAGTTTAAGGCACTTGGTGTGTCTCCCCCTCCCCAGAGCACCAGCATTTTACATCTAACTGGAGGGATGTTTTTTTGGAGCACTTAACACCCACGAATGGATTCCATGTGAAGAATCCCCTGCCTTGAGCAACCACTGTCTCGTTGAAAATGGGAATAAAATTCTGTCAGATTGCTGGTTCACCAGCAATGACTTTTGACCCACTCCGATCCCTCCCCATGCCCACTGTCACCCCAGCAACAAGAGCACACAACTTGAAGCTGGTTTGGAGGCCTGAGTGTGTAGACATGCTGAAGAGTCTGAGGGCAAAACCATCTGCCAACAGCAAGCCCTGAGCTGTGGTCCTCCTGCACTTGACCCTGCCCCTGCCAGGGCCTCAAGGTGTCATGACTTGTGTGGGTGGGAGCTCCCTTGCCGCCATGCTTTACAAGACAGGGATTTCTCCAGCATGGGGCATATTGAATGTGTGACCCAATTCTTTCAGCCAAGGCAATTAAAATAACTGTATACTTCATATCCATGTCAGCAAGGGCTTTAAAACTCAAACGAGACACCCAGAAGCCTTGACACCCCAAGGAGCACACACGTGTGTGGCAACAGTGGCATCCAAAAGAATGGGGGAGGCCTGTGTGAGGAGCACTTGTTCTTACACATGGACCAGTGCCTCATGCTCTTAATACCTGAGCTGCAAGTGAGCAACTGTGTCCACCAAACCTCCCAGGAGAAGGGAAGTACTTGTCTCCCAAATCTAAGCTAAACAGCTGGATTCAATTCAATTCACTGCAGTAAACACGTGTTAACACCTGCTGTGGGCAAATCTTTCCAATGGATGCTACTCCCTCCACTACGTTTGAGTACATTATCTGAAATAACAAGAAGAACTGCCACCATCGAATTTATTGAGCACTTTCTATGCTCCAGGGACTAATTCAAGTGCTTTACCTACTTGGTCTCATGCAATTCTTACAAACAGCTGTCTAGGAGGTCAGGGCTATCACAGTCCTTATTTTACAGATGAGGACGCTGAGGTCCAGAGAGGTTAACTAAGTTGCCCAAAGTCACACAGCTAGTTAGTAGCAGAGCAGGATGCACACCCAGGTATGCTTCATTCCCAAGGCCATGGTGTGTATGTGTGTGTGTATTCAGTCACTAACTTTCCATATGAAGAAAAGCTTTGAAATGGAAAACTGTTATAATGTGACAATCAAAAAAAGTACAGGCAAGGTGTCACAAATTTTTAAGAACAAGTTATAAATATTTTAAAATGCAATAAGAAGACAACCTAACTTCTTGGAGAGTTACAGAAATGACACATACATCCAATCCAGACACTTTTTTTTGCCATTCTGATGGTTTTTGTAGTAAACACATAGGGTTCAGTGTCCCCACCCCCTGCCCCTGCCCCCGACCTGGCTCATTAGTGCAGAGCCGAGATCTACCACATCTGTAGCTTCATTTCATCAGGCTCCCATGTGTCCTTGGAGCAAGGTCACCTGCATGGGACAGGAGTCGAAATGTGGCTTTTTCCCTGCATACTTAGCACCTTGATAATTCCAAACACTATTTTATAGGCCGCACTGGCATTTTAAAAATCCCAATATGCAAATATTCCTTGGTTCTGCTGACCGTCCTGCTCGATGATGACACATTCAATAGCACTGAATGGAGCTCGGTGGTAGAGAATGAAAGCTGTTTTTAAACTTTTGCTCAAGAATCCCTGGTAGCTTTGTGTGACTTGTCAGATATTAGTGATGGGTTAAGAAACGGGAACCCCCCCCCCGCCCCGCCCCGGTGAGCATCGGCATAGGTCACAAGATCACTTCCAAGATGCCCCAGCAGTATGGGCAGCACACTGAAGAATGAACCTGGAGCCACTCATTAAGCGGAGCAGACCCATGTGGTCACCAGGTACAAGATGAAATTAAGCTGCCCTATCACACCAACAGACTAGGTCCCACACTTATAGGGTGTGTGATAAACTTCCTAATTAAATAAAAGGCACAAAACCCATGCCCATTAGCCACAAAGCTCCCAGTCGGAGTTGAGACTGAACGTCATACTTTTCTTTCCTGGTGGCAACTGGCTCAAAGACACACGGTAAGTAAATGACAGAGCTGGAAGTTGAACCTGGGTCTGATTTTTTGAAAACTCCAGGTGTTTAATAGCAAACACTAAAGGCGCTCAAGATGGAGGAATGCTCAAATCCAGACTCTTACACTTATGCTGAGGCACACCTCATCTCCCCTTCCAGCCTCAACGTCCCTCAGTGTCTTCTTGCAGGGTACAGTAAGCACTACTGGTAGGTCCTGGGGTTCCAAAGGAGCCACCCAACTGACTGTCACGTTCAGGCAACCGAGGAAGGGAGAGGCAGGATTTCCTTTGGAGACTTCCGGATTTAGACAGCAGATTTAACACATGCATCTAAATTCATTCCATCCCAAAGCCTCATTAAAACTACAGTAAGGGCTTATATTTTGTTTTGTCTTTAAAGTCAAAATCCTACCAGGACAGGGAGACTGGAGAAGAGATAGAAACATGTAATTTATGAAGCTGAAAAGTGGATAGACCTATCCAGGCACAGTGGTACACCACTGTAGTCCCAGCTGAGGCAAGAGGATAGCCTGAGCCCAGGAGTTCGAGGCCACACCAGACAACATAGTGAGAGCTCCATCTCAAAAAGGAAAAAAAAGGTTGACCAGGGTAATTGACCACCCAGCCCCAAGGAGAGGCTGGCTGATGGGTTATGTGGGAGTTGGTTTTACTGTTGTATTGGTTTGGATTGTATTGGTTTTATATTGTCTTCTGCACGTATAGCATGTATTTCAAAAAAGATTTTCTTTAGAGTAAACAGGAATCATGACAATAGAAAATATGGTGCTATGCCAAAGGAGTTTAGGAATTTGGGACCTATTGACTTGTCTCTTCTGTTATAAATCACAGGTCTTCTGGAGCTGCTCCAGGAGCAGGGGGTTGGAGTTCAAGGCAGCAAACCCTAGCTCAGCACGCTCAGCAGGACATTGAGAACTTGCCTGGTACCAGCTCTGGCTCTCTCAGTTCTTGTCAGGAATGCCACCCTTCCAGGCCCAGGGATGTGGAGCTCTGCCTTCTTCCCCCAGAGTGTGTCCACATAGACACTCAAGCAGCTCGTTGCAGCTACCCCTCTCTTATGGCCACCTGTGTCATCTCCTCCCTTTCTAGCTTATCCTTCTCTGCCCTCCTGCCAGTGAAGGTCTCCCCCTCTGCCTTCTTCCCATCTCCCAAATACTTTTCTAACTTTTCTACTCAGGTCTTCATTCTCTGTAGATGAAGGAGAGGCTCCACCGTGTGCTCCAGATCACCAAGCAAGTTAAACACAGTCTGACAGAATGAGTTACCTAGACCAGCTGTTGCTAATGCTTGGCAGAGACTCAGTCTTTGGGCATAAAACCCTGGGACCCACCTTCTCAGAAACATTGGCTGCCACCAACTCTCCACTAGGTAGGTGGGTGCTACAGTTTGGATCTGGAATGTTTCTACAGGTCCATGTGTTACAAGCAAGAGGTGGTGGCACATAGTGGGAAGTTTTAGGTCATTGGGAATGTGTCCCCAAAGAAGACTGTGGGACACCTACCTTTTCCTCTTTCTCATTTTTGTGGCTGGCCACAAGGTGGAAGGACTTCCTCCACCACGCACTCCTGCCATGATGTACTGTGCTTCCACAGGTCCAAAGCAATGGAACCAATCAGTCATAAACTGAAACCCTAAAACTGTGAGCCAAAATAAACCTCTCTTTATAAGTTGATTTATCTCAGGCATTTATCACAGTAATGGAAAGCTGACTAACATAATGGGGATACTGAGGCTCATCCAGGAAAGGGCCTTGCCCCACATGAAAGAACTCCCCATTCCTCATACCTAGTCCAGGGCTCGGGGGTACAACCCATTTATCCCAAGGCAGGTCTGAGAGCCAGGAGAGAAGAAGGGTGAGGTTAGGATACTCAGCTTTGATGCTTGGTCCAGTGAAAATGGATCCATATGAGAAGCAAAGGCCAAGAGCTGAAAGGAGAGTGTTCCACGCTGCATTGGCCTCTTTGTTTCTCACTGAGAGTAACTAGGGCATGCTGCATGTCTGAGTTCCACAGGCTGGTGTTAGGAAAGCCACTGCTGCTCCATCTTCGCCCCAGGGGTGTGCTCCTGAAAGTGGCCTGCAGCCTCTGCACCTCACTTTAGGGTGGACATCCTCAGACTGGGTTTTGGAAGAGTGAGCAGAGGCTTTTGGAGGCTCATATTAGTACTAGGAGAGCAGAATGGATGAAGTGGAGGATCCTTTATGGTGAACCAGATGGAGGGATAGTAGCCAGTGCCAAGCCTCCTTCTTTGTGGCTCCGATCTAAATGCTCTAGGAGCCCTTCAGGGTCAGAGAGTCTGGCATGCTGTCCCCACTGTCCTTGATAGTGACAGCAGTGCAATCTCAAACAGCTGATCATTCGGAATGCAACCTCCCTAATATTGACTGGGAAGATTCCTCAGGGGTCCAGTACTAGCCCTGTGATACACACCCTGGAGGAGGCAGACTCTTGGCATAGTTCCATCTGAGATGCCCAGGCCTGAGCCCAGAAAGGGACTAACTTTCTGAGTCCTGCCCCCACTGTATCTCTTTCTCTTGACTACCCGTTTCTTTTGTGTTGTCCCAACAGGGACCAATAGCTCTCGCTGGGGCAGACTCTGACAGAAGCCAAGTCAGCTTGATACCCAGCTTCTCCATGGACAAAGAAGAGCCTCATTCCTCTCTTCTGCCCACCTCCCTCCACCTCCTTGCCATTTGACCTCCAGTTT